ATACGTTTTAAGGTATAATCATTTACTCCAGAAATCCAAGCAAGGGTCTAATCATCCAGAAAAGCCCTAATTATTGGATGAGGGAGGTGTATATAATGAAAATATTAATTTTGTTTTTTAAAATGGTTTATCAGTGGGTCACTTTAGATTCAGATTCATCTGTATCTTCTATATTACTGTTTCAGGGTACTGAAGCACAGAATTGGGAGTTACTATCTCAGTTGTACAAACTTTTTCTGTATTCCGTTTCATCCAACTAGAGAGGCCTAGACTAGGTGATCCCATAAAGGCCTTTCCAATATAATATAACTAGAGTGTAATCATATGTTAGACCCTGTGTGATACTTAACCATGTACTCTTAAGGAGTATGCTGAATTCAAATGGTGTTTGTTTTCTATTTATATCTGTCCCAGACATTTCCAGCTATATTGTATGCAATCTAAAGATAAAAGAAGAGCAGAATTATTTTTCACTAACATTCTCAATTTCAAAGTCCCACTATTAAGTATACTAGTTAGCAGTTTCTCAAATTAGGGTGAAACCACAGGGATATTTTCTGAATGTTTCGTACCCTTTTTACTTGATGGATTGTCAAATGTAGCTACTCATTTTCTAGGTTAGAGACTATTTTCATTACAGAAATTTTCCCATAGTTTTTCTAGATGAACTAATCTATGCTTAATTGTTCCCTGGAGCTCATACCTCAACCTCTTTGAACTTCATTTTTCACCTTGCTGTTTTCAGGTTGTAAAGAAAAATACGTAAATACTTCACTTGAAATTCCATTAACTGAAACAGCACTAAGGTCACAGCAAGTGTTAACTTGTTCCAGATTATACCCTAACACTGGACTACGACCTTGTCATTGGGTCAGGAATAACAGGTTAACACTGGATAGCTCTTTCTATATCCTGTTGCTAAAGCAACAATTGGCTCTAAGCAGATACACAACACTGAACAGCAGTGCCAGCAACAAAAAGCAGGGCTTAAGTCATTTAAGTTTCCTGGTACTCAAGGTTACTCTCAGTCCAGGGTTCTTTAACCAAAAACCTATTCTAGCATTCTAAGTAAGTGCTTTTTACTTTACCTCAGATTTATAGATTTCTTTCTACCATATTCTGGCCTTTTAAGTTTTGGAGCCAACTTCTAAATTTTCATTGTAATTAACGTTTGGGGGATCATTTATGCTGAACAAAATAATGACCCCATCACACACTTCTGAAATGCAAAACAACTTTTATAGGTTGTTAACAACAGAAAGGTGCCTTATAAATTCTCATTGAAACAGTAGAACTCATTATTTTAGCCTGAAGTGTTTAAACTTAAGCTTGGTTAACTCTTAAATGAAGCATTCTGCCTGGATTAATTTAAATTACTTCTGATACAAGGTTTTCTTTTAAGGTAGAAAATAAATTTTCAGTGTGCCGAATACTACATAGCTTTTTAGTGTGGCATGGTCCAACTTGTTTAGGTTTTTACCCTGCGTTAAGATACTAGTTATCCAGTTTCTTCCACTTCTCATTTTACATCTAGCTGCCTTTTACCCTTCTTGCTTCTGTTTGTTGTGATTTAGAGCACAGGAAATTAAGGATAGCAGAGAAAACTATATAACCAAGCTTCTAGAATCAGAAAATGGGTTTGTGTTCCATTTTCATACATGTTCTCAATTATTTCTTGAATGGTTTGGGTCTGTATGACTTGTTAAATGCTTCTATAGATATTCCCATCATTTTTAAAACAGCTGAAGGCAAGAGAATTTGCTTAAAAATAAGGGTGGGAAAAGATTCGACTTCAGGACCACCCATTACAGCCTACTTTCATCACCAGCAAAGCAGGTTTATAAAGTTTATTAAGTAGCATAGGACTCATCTGTTGTCAACCTAGAGGCCCAGTGAAGGCAAAAGGAAAGAGGCTAAGTAAGGAAACTAAAGCTCTGGTATGCCAGTTCTAAACATTAAGGCTGTGAATAGGCATGTATTAAGGACTAATATATAGAGAACCAAATTATAATTGAAGCTAGTAAATTGGAGAAGATATTCAGGGCTTATAGTTTCAGTAGCTGTGCAACTTCAGAAAGCATTTGCTCTAGTTTTTCAATTTCCTATCCATAAAGTGGAGAAATCTTAACAATTTAAGTTGGCTGTTATTTTTTTTTTCCCCTCTTAACAGATGAGGAAGCAGAGCCCTAAGTGCATAGATACCTTGCTCAAAGTTGCCTGGCTATTATAGCAGAAGTTTCACTTGAAACCTGTACCTCCTATTCCTAGTCCTATATTCAACCATTATCTTCCTCCCTTTTAAAGAAGTCTATATCTGAAAGGACCCGTGGATAAAAAGGGCCCAAGGTAGAAGTGTAATGACAAGTACGAGACACACATTTCAGTACCACCAAGGAAAACATCCCTGGGTTATCAGATTTGTGAAAGGTACCACAGTGTGGAGGTTAACAGCGTAGAACTTCGGGTTTGAGAAAGATCAGTTTTCTCAGCCAGCATGTTGCTTTGGGCAAGTATCTTAACCTCACTGAACTTCAATTTCATTACTTGTAAAATGTACTTTAATAGTAACTACTACTGGGTAAGGGGGAAATGCTTAGCTCAACGCTAGCACATTGTAAACAGTCAATAAATGTTAATAATACACAAGCATTTTGTAAGAAAATACCATTAAAAGATGAAGGCTCTCTTACAGATCATCATACTTGCATCAATTACCATGATCTAGAGCCCTCATAAAAAAGATGACTTTTTTACCCAAGAAAAATGGTAGGTTTGCCTAACGGCTTTCAGTGAAATATGGATTCTTCTACTTGAAAAAGGTAAGCCTAGAGAAAATAAAACATTACTATGAAAGAAAAATGTGGTCTGCTGTGCTCCTTAGTATTATTGTAAAGTGGTATCTTAGAAACAGGTATGCTGTGTTTGCATTAAACACTCAAAAGTGTACCTTCAACATGAAGTTTTCCTTTTTAAAGTTAATGCTTGATTGCCTTTGGGCATATCTTCTATTCGTCTGAAAAATTTGCTTTTTAGTTGATAATATCTCTTTTCCTTAATTAAAGCTCTTGTTCATAAACATTTTTTTTTGACTAGTCCAAAGGACTGAAATAAAAGGCTAGTAAGCCAAAATACAATTGATCCTCATTATTAGCGGATTCCTTATTTTCAAGTTCATACCTCCAAAGTCAACAGTCACGGCGATTTCCTGGTTGGTTGTGGACATGCAAAGTGTGAAAATGAGGCCCCCTGACCTACAAAGTTATGCTCTGCCTTGTTTCAGTTTTCCTACTGTAAATAAGCATCCTTTTCATGGTCCATTTAATGCCAAGTTTTTTGCATTTTTGTCCTTTTTATTGGTGATTTCACTGTTTAAGATGGCCCCCAAGTGTAGTGAAGTGCTGCTGCCTAAGGTTCCTAAATGCAAGGCTGTGATGGATTGGCATGAGTTATGATGTTATTGGCTGTGAATTTAATGTTAATGAATCAACAGTATATATTAAATAAGATGTCTTAAACAGAAACACTTGTAAACAAGGTTATATATTCACTGGTTAACAAAAATATTGTGACCAGAGGCTCACAGGAAACCCCTATGAACAGTGGTTCAGGATTCACTAATTTAGTATTCTCAGTGTCTTTATACAACACAACTACTTTGAATAACATGAATCAGCCGTACCTTCATACCCCCTTGTCCCTGGAAATAGCCAAGTGCTTCGTCATACTCTAAATCATGGCAAATGAACTTGATCAGATTTTGAATGAGGAAATGGGATGGAAAATAAAAGCAGATACACCTCCATTTTGAAATGTCCCTAAACACATTCCAGTGCTAAATATGACCACCTCCATTATTTTGACCTTGAAAGTCTTTGTGTTCCCCATTAACAATTAACTTTAGGAAGATTTAAGAAAGTTTAGATTGTAGGTAGTAGTATTTATCATCTTAGAACTGAAAATTAAGTATTCTGGCTGACCACAAAATAGCTATCTTAACCTCACATGTTTTAGGTAGGTCCTCTGGTTAACCTTAGATATTTTTTGTTAGACCAATAGCTATTTACCCTGAAATGTCATTTAAATATATCAGTGTATGAATTATCGAGTCCTTCGTTATATTTTGATAACTGAGAGCTTTTCCGTTTCACTAATTGTGTTTTAACAGATGTGAAACTTGATTATGTAAAAAAATAACCAATTAAAGTAGTTTATAAATGGTCAGTCTCTTTAAGGGGTTAGCTAAATAAAATATACATACTTTCTTGATTAAAAACAGGACTTGTATTCTCAAATCTTTATCATACTGTTACAGTTTTTACTGTATGAAATCGGAAACAATTCAGATTTATCACTGACAAAGTGATAAATACATACCTAGATCAATTTCTCAGGTTAAGTTGTGGCTAAATTCACTTTTTTTTTTTTTTTTGCGGTACTCGGGCCTCTCACTGTTGTGGCCTCTCCCGTTGCGAAGCACAGGCTCTGGACGCGCAGGCTCACCAGCCATGGCTCACGGGCCCAGCCACTCCGCGGCATGTCGGATCTTCCTGGACCGGGGCACGGACCCGTGTTCCCTGCATCGGCAGATGGACTCTCGACCACTGCGCCACCAGGGAAGCCCTAAATTCACTTTTAAGTTCAAGGTTCTAAGTGGCTGGGGGAGTCCTCTGTACCTTGAACAGCCACCTGTCTTAATGAGATGAGCCCCTACTACAACAACCTGTGCTAATTCCATCATATTTATCACATTGTATTTTAATTATTTTCACATTGTATTTTAATTATCAGTTTATCAATCTCCCATCAGATTGGGGATTCCTTCAGAGAGAGACTATCTTGTTCACTTTGTCTTGACATAGGTACCAAATTACTTGACAAATGAGTAACAAACACTTCAAATGGCATGCACTTATCCATAATCATGGAGTATTAACCTACAAATATTCTATAATCCGATTTTAAATCCTCAAATTTATACCAAGGCTTTCATTTAGCTTATGTTAATTTTTAAAATGTGTAGCTTTGAGGCATTTTATTATAAAAAGCTGGTACTCATATACATAAATGAATAGGAACTTAAAATTCATCATACATTTACTTCATTTTTTTAGCTTGACCTTCTAGTAAATCTTTAGCTTCATTGATTTTGGCTGCTATATAAGGAGATCCTCCTACAGGAAGAAAAAAAAGGAATAGTTATAATATGGACTCTCCAATTTCTGCTTGGTGAAAAGCTATTCTCTTGCTTCAAGAATTCCTATGCTTATCTAAGAGGTGAAATGAGCAGAAATGAAATTTTGACTTTTTAAAATAACTATGACACTGGAACTGGATGACCAAAAACATGGTTAATATATTTGACCAATGGGAGGGAGATTTCCACAAAAAATGGCACCTTCTGAAAAAGCTTAAACTGATAGAAATAAAATTTTAAAAAATTCTCATACTTATGTGACTTTGAAATAGTGTAAGTTACCTTTTCATGACGATCACAAGTCATAAACACCAATTTATTGTACTGTGTTATTTTAAAACCATGAAATTTTCAGAGGTGCTGAGCTTAGTTGGGAAGACCCCACTTTGCTTTATATGCTTTTCCTGTTACCAGCAGTCCCTTCACGATGTCACCTACATCTCCTTTCCTACTGAACTGCAGCAGTGATTTGAGTGATTCTCAAAAAAGTGTGGCCCTCAGACCAGCAAGCACCAGCAATCAGTAAAAAGCTTAGTTAGGATGCAAATTTATGGGCTCCACCCTAGACCTACAGAATCAAGAGCCTTCCAGTTAGTATAAGCTAAGTTTTGTAAAAGGTTATGCAGTCAGATACCAAACAATTAAAACCCTGTTTAAACTCAAAACACTCTTTCTTAAAGAGAGGCTTCTCCTGTAAAGTAAAAGGACTTAAACACTGGAATGTGGATTTTGTGGTCTACATTTTGGTATTCCATTTGATCTTTCAACTCAGCCTAGGCTGCTTAGAAGTGTATCAGAAACTAATACATCCTATAGGTTTCTAACTAGGTAACCACTAGTTAAAAGGTCTAAATGTATAGGAAAAAAGTTAAAAGTTTTATTAGTTTCATTAACTGAAATTCAACATTTTCCTTAGGTAAGAATGTAGACACCCCCCACCCCAAACAGTAGTAGTAGCAGTATTTGAGACTCACTACTGTAAGTCACATCACAACTGCAGATCTCAAAACACAATTAATGCTTATCACTACTTCCAAATTATAGTAGTTACTAGATCTGCTCATTAGTCTATAAATTTTTCACTCAGAACTTACTCTTTTAAGATACCTAAACAAATGGATCCAGCCTGGGAGACAGTGCTCACAAACAGATCTAGGCATTTCCCTTATAATAGCCAAGAATTAGATACAAAATTATCCCACTAATAACAGTTACTCCAACAAAATGTGTTAACAATAGTTTAATGATACTTACCCTTGTCTGGGTGATTTAAAAGCATAATTCGTCGATGAGCATCTCTTATTTTTCCCTTATTGGCAGTAGGGCTAATTTAAAAAGGAAAAGGTATGCTTCAGAGTAGATCTGGGTCACATTAAAAAACTATATAAAGGTCGATTAAAAATTGTGAAACTGAAAAAAAAAAAACTGGAGTAAGTCAACACAACAGTATGAAAAGCTATTTGGGAACCTCTAACACACTAGGAAGATTAATATTCTGAATCACAGAACTAAACAGAGCTCCTTAGAAAAATAAGGCATTCTTAAAAATTTAGTTGAACTTTTAACCATTACAACAATCCTTTTATCGAAAAGTATGTTTAAGTATTTGGAAATGAAGGCAGAATTTCATCACAAAAAAATCTGTTACTCCGTTATAGAGAACAATATTGAGCACTGTGATTATCTGTTGAAAAATCTACCTTCAATGAGTTAAAAAGTACTCATGTGTCATTAGACCTTCTCATTGGACTTTTGTAGGGAATGTTTAGATCTTAAAAATGTAATAGATGGAACGTCCCTGGCAGTCCAGTGGTTAAAACTCCATGCTTCTACTGCAGGGGGTGTGGATTAGATCCCTGGTCAGGGACCTAATATCCCGCATGCCACACAGTGCAGCCAAAAAAATAATAAAAATTAAAAAAAATGTACACAGTAGAATAACTCTCCTAATAGAGAAGGTCTTTCTTACACTTGCTTATAGCTCTAAATTTGGAAGAAAAATACTAAAAATGTGAGAAATTATTTTACCTTACACCTAGTATTAATGCTGCTTCCCGTTTTGTCATTTTGGGTTCAAACCCACCTCTGTAATAGCCACCACTGAAGGCCTGAAAGTGGAAATACATTTGTAAGAAAAGATTATCAAAATAAACTGAAAGCTGCTAAAAAATGTCTATAAATGTTCATAGAACCAGCGGAAAAACTAAGACACTTCAGAAAACTAAGTGCAATTCCTATGGTATTTTTTTTTTTTTTCCCTGTACGTGGGCCTCTCACTGCTGTGGCCTCTCCCGTTGTGGAGCACAGGCTCCGGACGCGCAGGCTCAGCGGCCATGGCTCACGGGCCCAGCCGCTCCGCGGCATGTGGGATCTTCCCGGACCAGGGCACGAACCCGCGTCCCCTGCATCGGCAGGCGGACTCTCAACCACTGCGCCACCAGGGAAGCCCCCTATGGTATTTTAACTCTATAAATAGCAACAAATATTTTATTGATCATTAAACATCCATTCCCCCCCCCAACCCCCGGACCATCTAAACTGTCTTGAAGATACAAGACAAAATAACAGTGCCTTAAAGCCAGTTCTTCTGGGAGTGAAGGGAAGAGTATTCCAAGCTAGCCATGTTCTAGATAAAAATTTGATCTCAGAATATGACTACATGTTTTAGAACAAGTGCTTTAGAGGATTCAGAGATCTTTTGAGACAAGTGGTTCAAGGACATTTTGAGGTTCAAGGCAACTACTAAAACAAGACTTTAAGATATATATTGAGAAAATCAGGCTATTAGATCCACTGACCTTGGTATGTCAGAAATTATACTGGTAAAACCTACCATTACTCTACTACTCTGTCACATTCAATCATAACAATAAAAAGCAATACTCTACAGGTTGTCAAAATCATATTCATTCTGAATTTTGACCACAGAATGTATGATCACATTCAGTCATACTCTAGAGCCCAATTAACTGAAGTGTTACCCAAGTAATCTCTGTTAGGGAGTGCCAGAGCCACACAGTAAAAATGGATCACTTCAGACCCCTAGATCCCTCTGTGTTTGTGATGCAGAGCAAATGATGCTGAAGGTAATGGTGTATGAACACTAAAGTGATACTAACTTTCATGATACTAAAACTGTTAACACCTCTTCCCCAAATCTGTCACACGTAACATTTGATTCTTTAGGGTAGCACCATTACAAAGCTCAGAACTTCTAAACCTTCTTTGCGGGAAGCAAGAGAAGGGGTCCAAAGCAATCACTTAGAACTTCATGGATGTCTGGCTCTAGGCTTCATACACAGACAGTAAAGAATTAGCAAAAATGGTGAATAAGAAGCCTTACAGATTTTGGTAGACTTTGAAAAACTTGTTTTACTTGAGGCTCCATATGCTTCATGGCTTGCAAAGCGTAACGGCCTAAAAACAAAAGCAATAAAATAAAAAGTCCGCAACCTCCTCTACTTCAGTTCTACCCCCAAACCATAAACAAACCTGCAAATCCTGCAGCAGCAATGGTCAGTCCAACTGCTACCACTGTACTGGCCTGGTAAAGGGAAGCAGAGTAAATATTCATTTCTCCCATTCTCACCCTTCCCTATCATGCCCATTCTCCCATTCCAACTTATTACAAGTTTTATTTCAACGGGAGAAATAACTTTTAGGATGAAAATTTTCTGCCCAATGATCCTGCAAATTTTATATCCAATGCATTTAAAAGGTATGGGATTTTTCACTAAGGAAAAAAAAAGCAAGTCGATTTGCTTATTTACTTATACAACAGTGAAAAAGATAATTCCCCTCCCCTTGAAAACTTCTTTCACCTCTGGGCAAGTGAAGTCACATTAAAATTCAATCAAGAGCAACGGAAATAAAGTTTCTGCCAGAGAAGGGAGAACTGTTTACAGAGGATTCCTGTAAATTCTGATTCACCGTTAAACGTAGGCTTAACTAAGAGACTAGCTTCTCATAGCACCTTCGGCCAAATATGTTCAGGAATCGAGAAGAGGTGTGTCAGCAAGAGAAAAGGGGAAAGACAGAGCGATGTAGAGAAAGGGCTGCGAGGATGTGTTAGGGGACCAGCAGGTATAATCAAATGCGTTTCCACTAACCTCCGAGCCCCATGGACGGCAGGCACAAAGGCCCGAGAGGGGTGAGGCAACAGCTCTGTGTCCCAGAGGGTGACTCTCCGGGGCGCTACACCCCCAGCTCTGAGTCGCATTAGGGAGACATCTGCGGCTCCTCTCCTCCCAGACCTTGAGCAGAGGTTAAGGCCTGGGCCTGAGATCGCCTAAGAGGCCGGAAGGCGGAACTCACCATGGTTCCCGCTCGGCTCCTCTGCTTCCACCGGGACCGCGGTACATCCCACCCCAACAGCTCTACGCCTCTACCACAAAGCGACGCGGTCACCACCAGCATGTGCAAACCGCCCAGACACGGGCGCCCCAGGAAATACGGCAGTGGCGGCCGTAAACTAGGCCGGAAAACTGTCGTAAAAGGGGACAGCGGACGGGAATGAAAAGGTCGCTCAAGCCGTGGGCAGGTGGAGAACACGACTTCGGATTGGTTGGTGGGTGGGCGGATCACCTCCGTACTGGGCTCAAAGGTGGGGCTTCTTGTTTTATCCTTTGCGCCTGGGCCTAGAGTATTTGGAAATTCTTTCGGAGAACGGTATTGATATCGAAGGGCATGAGCAAATACTGTGTAGCTACACTCTGAACTTTTTTTTTTTTTTTGGTCTGCATCTTAGCATCTCCATTTGGCATTTATTTTGTTTATAACTGCCAAGAGTAATGAATATTCTTAAACATGCCATAACAAGTCCACCATGAAGCCAAATAAGTATGTAGCGGCACAGTATAGCAAAAAGATGTTCCAGAAAATCAAAGGAGCAAACCACATTGTTTCGGGGGTTCTGTAGCATTCATTTATTTAGAATAATTTGTTTAAATATGTGACTTGACAGGAACTTGTGTGAATGTTTGGGGTTTGGTTTTGTGGAATGGAATTACTACTTAAAGGACAGTTAATACTCTGATCATGGGATCTCAAAATCACCACAACTGAAAAATGCTATTTAAAATTTCTCCCCTTCTCAAAGTAAAAAGTAGGGTTTGGTTTTGCCTTTACAGAGTATCAGTTTCATATATCCCTACATAAAAGGAGAAGAGAAAAATAATGGAGACAGTAATGGAAATTTTACAATGTGATGTTTGGATGATCAAAATAAATTTGGAGTTAATTCCCACTTCGAACTTACAAAGTATTAGGAGTCTGTTTACATTGCAATGATATTCTGCTTTGATGAGGTCGTTGGTTATTAGACAAATATGTGAATTTGTTGGCTTTCTTTTCCTCATGTAAAAAAAGATTCTGCGTTTGGATCTCCAAGATAGCCATGAGATTTTTGTAATGAAATTTATTATCAACAAACGATCCAGCACTAAGACCCTAGTGTTAAGTGTACATCTTCCTCTTTTGCCCCCTTTTATCTAGTTTTTAACCCAACAACTACAAAATAAATAATCAAGTGGGACATAAGACCTTGGGACCAAAATGGCCAGAAAAAACTAGACTGCTACGTTCAAAACTTCCCGTTATGTATAGTTTTGATATATACAAACTATAATATGCAGCTTGCTTGAGGAACACAAACCTAGCCTCAGGAAACCAGTGGTGGACAACACAGGGAGACACTTGAAGTGGAGATGGCTCTGTTTTTGGAAGCAAATCAAGCTAAATGCACAACCTGTCTCTGTCACTTACTAGTTGTGTGAGTTTGGACAAACTTGTCCAAAAGGAATAACTATTCCTGACTCTGAGTTTTCTCATTTGTAAAAGAAGGGTAATGCTGGCTACCTTGCTAAATTTTTGTAAGGATAGAGATGTACATTGTGTGTTCTATACATAATTATCACTCAGTGTAGCTGTTATTATTATGAGGGAAGTCAGAGTGCATATTGGTGTGCAAAGGCCTTCCCAATTCTCATGACACTTCACTCATGGTGGCAAGCCTAGTAATCCCTTCCCTACCAACTAAGGGCATGGAAAGAACCCTTAAAAGCAATTTTTAAAAATATCTATTAACTGGGACTTCCCTGGTGGCACAGTGGATAAGAATCCACCTGCCAATGCAGGGGACACGGGTTTGATCCCTGGTCCGGGAAGGTCCCACATGCCTCAGAGCAACTAAGCCCGTGCATCACAACTACTGAAGCCCGCACACCTAGAGCCTGTGCTCCACAAGAGAAACCACTGCAAGGAGAAGCCACTGCAAGAAAAAGCCCGTGCACCCCAACGAAGTGTAGCCCCCACTCGCCACAACTAAAAAAAGCTCGCGCGCAGCAACGAAGACCCAATGCAGCCAAAAATAAGTAAAAAATTAAAATCTTAAAAAAAAATGTCTACTGACTGATGAATGGATAAGTAATCACTCCTTATTTCTTCTAGCTTATGGTGTCTGCTAGCATACCTTGACTTGTGACAGCATAACTTCAATATTCAAGGAGGGCCAGTGTCTTGAAATCCCTTTCTACTCTGTTTTCACGTTGCCTTTCTCCTCTGTGTGTAGAATCTCCACTGCCTCCCTCTTAAAGGATACATATAATTGCATTTAGGGCCCACCCTTATAATCCAGGATAATATCCCCATTTCAAGATCCTTAACTTAATCATAGCTGCAAAGACTTTGTCATATAAGGTAATATTCATGGGTTCCAGGTTTTAGGACTCGGTATCTTTGGGGGCTATTATTTCATCTACCATAGAGAATAAGAGAAGGCAGAAGAGGAGACTAGCAGGGACAAGAGAATGAGAAAAGACTCAAGCACGTATGCTCAATTTCTCCTCCCACATTTGTCAACCAGGCAAATCACTTCTTGGGGAGGAATAAGTGAGAGATGAGAGGAAGTAGCTAGAAGTACTCTTGGATTGTGGCTTTCAAACATTTTCTGACCATAATTCTTAGTAAGAAATATTGGGTTGGCCAAAAGGTTCGTTCATTTTTTTCCTGTAAAATGGCTCTAGTAGTGCTTCGTTGTCTTTCTTTTTAAAAAAATTTTATTTATTTATATATTTATTTTTGGCTGCATTGGGTTTTGTTGCTGCGCTTGGGCTTTCACTAGTTGTGGCGAGTGGGGCTACTCCTCATTGCGGTGTGTGGGCTTCTCCTTGCCGTGGCTTCTCTTGTTGTGGAGCACGGGCTCTAGGTGCTCAGGCTTCAGTAGTTGTGGCATGCAGGCTTAGCAGTTGTGGCTCGCAAGCTCTAGAGCCCAGGCTCAATAGTTGTAGTGCACAGGCTTAGTTGCTCCGTGGCATGTGGGATCTTCCTGGACCAGGGCTCGAACCTGTGTCCCCTGCTTTGGCAGACGGATTCTTAACCACTGCTCCACCAGGGAGGCCCTGCTTAGTTGTCTTTAGCTTCATTTGAAACAATTTTTTTTAGATTGTATTGTGACAGCTGTCATATCAGTATGCATTGTAAAAAAAAACTTATCAAAATTGGTGAATTTTTTTTTTTTTTTTTTTTGCGGTATGCGGGCCTCTCACTGTTGTGGCCTCTCCTGTTGCCGAGCACAGGCTCCGGACCCGCAGGCTCAGTGCCCATGGCCCATGGGCCCAGCCGCTCCGCGGCATGTGGGATCCTCCCGGACTGGGGCACGAACCCGTGTCCCCTGCATCGGCAGGCAGACTCTCAACCACTGCGCCACCAGGGAAGCCCAAAATCGGTGAATTTTTCTGTAGCCATTTCAATATTGAAGATGGAAGAATAAAGCAACACTTTTGGCATATTATGCTTTATTATTTCAAGAAAGGTGAAAACAACTGAAACACAAAGAAGGATTTGTGCAGTGTATGGAGAAGGTGCTATGACTGATCGAATGTGTCAAAAGTGGTTTGTGACATTTTGTGCTGGAGATTTCTCGCTGGACAATGCTCCACATTCGGGTAGACCAGCTGAAGTTGATAGCGATCAAATCGAAACATTAAATGAGAGCAATCAATGTTATACCATGAGGGAGATAGCCAACATACTCAAAATATCCAAATCAAGAGTTGAAAATCATTTACACCAGCTTGGTTATGTTAATTGCTTTGATGTTTGGGTTCCACATAAGTTAAGCCGGGGTGGAGGGGCGAGACCTTCTTGACTGTATTTCCACATGCGATTCTCTACTTAAACATAAAGAAAATGTTCCGTTTTTAAAACAAATTGTGATGGGTGATGAAAAGTGGATACTGTACAATAGTGTGGAACAGAAGAGATTGTGGGGCAAGTGAAATGAACCACCACCAACCACACCAAAGGCCAGTCTTCAACCAAAAAAGGTGATGTTGTGTATATGGTGGGATTGGAAGGGAGTCCTCTATTATGAGCTCCTTCTGGAAAACCAAATGATTAATTCCAACAAGTACTGCTCCAATTAGACCAACGGAAAGCAACACTCGATGAAAAGCGTCCAGAATTAGTCAACAGAAAACGCATGATCTTCCATCAGGATAACTCAAAACCACATGTTTCTTTGATGACCAGGCAAAAACTGTTACAGCTTGGCTGGGAAGTTCTGATGCATCCACCGTATTCGCCAGACATTGCACCTTCGGATTTCCATTTATTTCGGTCTTTACAAAATTCTCCTAATGGAAAAGATTTCAATTCCCTGAAAGACTGTAAAAGGCACCTGGAACAGTCCTTTGCTCAAAAAGATAAAAAGTTTTGCGAAGATGAAATTATGAAGTTGCCTGAAAAATGGCAGAAGTAGTGGAACAAAAGGGTGAATACGTTGTTCAATAAAGTTCTTGGTGAAAATGAAAAATGTGTCTTTTATTTTTACTTAAAAACTGAAGGAACTTTTTGGCCAACCCAATATATTTTACCTTCTGACCCTAGGAAACAAATACACAGTTAAATGAGTGTGCGCACGTACACACGCACACACACACACACACACACACATGCATTGAATTTAATGTGAATTTAAAGGAAATTAATGTTTTTGAGACAATACTTGCACTTGCTTCATGAGATGCATGCTGGTCTTTTCTAATTCTTAAAAAAAATGGTGGGAAACCCATTAAGTTCACAGCCCACTAATTGGTCATGATCTGAAGTTTGGAAAACATCACTCCATAAAAATCCACCTTTGGAAATATGATGCCAGGCATATAAAAGGTTTTTTTTCCCCCTAAAAACTATGTGCCAGGCATTGTGCTAAATGCTTTATGTTGATTATTTCACTTCACTCCACGACAGTAATATTTATTTGTTTTGCAGATGAGGATATTTTGCCAAATACATTTGTTTTCCCCTCC